GACACCAGCCAATCATATTCCAGTGAGGGGGGAACATAGGTGTATGCATATTTCATTATATCAAATCCATAAAACTTTTATGATGTCAACGAACACTCGTTACTACTTTTGTGATACCAACGAATAGTCGTTGTCATTTTCGTGATACTCGTTGTAGTAGAGACTTTGTAATTGCTATTATAAAATTAAATTGCTGAATAACATTCGACTAGTCAAGGAAATTGTTATGTTTTTTTTATACCCACGCACGCATAGACTCTCCCAGTTATAAATAGGAGCAGGTACTGCCTTTTGGGGAGAGAAGTTTCCAGCAGTCAACTCTGACAGTCGGACCGAACATTCTTGCTGTAACACTCTGGTTTGTACATGTTTGTCTTACTGTTTCTGTTAATATATTTGTTTAACTTAATTCTTTGTGTCTTTATTTCCGGCCCTAACAAGGCCACAACGGTGAAATACTCAAACAGAAACTACCTTTAAAACCTCGGAGAACAAGATGATGTCAAAAGCGTTGTAGGTTCCATCGACAAAATAAAATATTCTTAACGGAAATTTACACAATTTTACAAGTAAATTAGAAAAGGCAGTTATGGATATCAAAAAGCCACCATCTACTGAAAAAGTAGAGAAATTTTGGGAGAATATTTGGAGCATTCCAAAAGAATATAACACCAATGCAGAATGGATCCAACGAGAACAAAAAAGAATGAAGGATAAACCTCTACAAGAATGGGAAAATATTACCAAGACTAATGGTAGACAAGCTCCAATGAACTTCCCAAAATGAATATCCCCAGGAAATGATAAGGTAGCCAATTTTTGGATTTATTATCTGTCATCAGTCTATAAAGCTTTTGAGATGTCAGCGAACACTCGTTGCCACTTTTGTAATGTCAACGAATACTCGTTGTCACTTTTCGTAATGCTCGTTGTAGTAGAGACTTTGTAATCGCAGCTACAACTATAGTAATGCCGTTGAACAATACTGATGTCAGACGCCGTTGAACAATACTGATGTCAGACGCCGTTGAACAATACTGATGTCAGACGCCGTTGAACAATACTGGTGTCAGACGCCGTTGAACAATACTGATGTCAGACGCCGTTGAACAATACTGGTGTCAGACGCCGTTGAACAATACTGATGTCAGACGCCGTTGAACAATACTGGTGTCAGACGCCGTTGAACAATACTGATGTCAGACGCCATTGAACAATACTGGTGTCAGACGCTTTCCAATAACACTAAGAGTACTTGCTCGAAAAGTAACCACCGAACAGTGGTCCGAATAGTAATCCGTGTACTGATATATTCACTAACCGCCCCAGGCGGTCGGATGCGACACAAGGCCAAGTTTCTAGTGGGGTATCCGAGCCCGTAGGCTCAGCCAAAAATTCCCCATAGACCCTGTAAAAAACGTAGTCGGGTAACTGTCTCTCGAGACCGCATAGTGTCGTCTGGGGATCCTCTCTGGCCGGAGGTAGAGAGTTTATAGTGGGGTACCGAGCCCATAGGCCCGGTCAAATATTTCCCGTAGACCCCGTAGAAAAGATTTATTCAATCTCGACAACGATGCTGCCCCAAGGGAACCGGATACGCCACCAGAATTTATTATCGATGGTCGTAATCTTAACACTGTGAGACGTACGTAAGACATTTTGCTGATGGCCGGCTCAGAAAGAAAACTACAACAGTATCAATCGTTATTTTATTAATTTTCCACATATTCTCTTACACTCGGTAAGCCCTTGCGTCTTAGGGGCTTTATTGCCTTGTTTGGGGGGGGAATGGGAAAGGAATGGTCTTACTATTCATTGCAAGAAGACAGAATATATGGTCATCAACAAGAAAAAAAAGAGACCAAGATGCGAGTTAGAAAATGGAGATGTCAACATCAGGCAAGTTCAGAAATTTAAAGATCTGAGAATTTTTTCACAGAGGATGAAAAATGTGACACCGAGATCCGAAGACGGACTGAACTGCCAAAGATGCATTCCAGAAGCTAAGCAAAAGGCCGAGAAACAGAAAAAAAAGAAAACTGGAAACAGGAGAAAATGTTGTTCTACAGAAGGATACTGAGAATTTCATGCACAGAGCGAGTAAACAAAGTCTTAAATAAAATGGCAACAGAAAAAAAAATACTTAATAGCCAAAATCGGGAAGAGATAGCTAAAATTCATTCGACGCATAAAGAGGAAAGAGGGTTTGGAAAACTTAACCCTCACAGGGAATATTAAGTAAGACAGACTCGGGAAGGCAGTGTGGTACCTGACTGACTACTGGATATCGTAACCGGGAACGGGCGGTTTAGCAAAGAAGAAAAACTGCTAAGAGCTACGAGGTGTAGTGATTTTTGGAAGGCCATGGCCACCCATAGACTTGTAGGACCCGGAAGAAGGAGCATGATGGTACAGAAAGAAAGAAAAAAGAAAACGGAAATTATAATCTATCACTCAAGCTAATATTTATTGATTATCTAAAATATTCAATTATTTCTTTCAAAATTTACATAATGACAGTAGTACAAACTCAGATATAAAAGCCCACATCAAATAAAGAGGCTACAAAATAAAACGAAAGAAAAAAAGAATTAAAAAAATAACACAAACTGGAATCCATTCACAGGACAAAAAAAATGGCGATCACATGAACATAAGGAAGGCAGATTCGCAGACAAGTAATAATGTTGTCGTGCGTATTCAAATTCCAGGAATCTGGGGCTTAGTGCGCTAACGCGGTAAACAGGTTTAAGGACGTTTGTACTGGAATAGGAATCGACATGAGAACACGAGCCGTTTTAATGTCGCTATTCTGTTGAACTAGCATTCGCGTTCGGCCACTTGCACTATTCCAGCGAACTTATAAACCCGTTTTAGTGACGTACGAAGAAAAGAAAAGAGGGAACTGAAAAAGAAAGCGAAACCTGACAGGATTAATTGTCTAATGCAACTCAATGCTGACACACACGCACACATATATAAATTCCATCTTAAATATCTATCTGTGAAAGAACAAAACGAAGAAAAGAGATAATATACATATAGAGAGATATAAATAGACTGACATAGATAGACTAGATAGATAGATAGATAGATAGATAGATAGATATGAATAGACTGACATATATAGATATGAATAGACTGGCATAGATAGATAGATAGATAGATAGATAGATAGATAGATAGATAGATAGATAGATATGAAAAGACTAACATAGATAGATAGATAGATAGATAGATAGATAGATAGATAGATAGATAGATAGATAGATATGAATAGACTGACATATATAGATATGAATAGACTGGCATAGATAGATAGATAGACAGATAGAAAAATAGATAGATAGATAGATAGATAGACAGATATGAAAAGACTAACATAGATAGATAGATAGATAAATAGATAGATAGATAGATAGATAGATAGATAGATAGATAGATATGAATAGACTGACATAGATAGATAGATCTGAATAGATACAAAGATAGATAGATAGATATGAAGAGACTAACATAGATAGATAGATATATAGATATGAATAGACCGACATACATAGATATGAATGGACTGACATAGATAGATATATATGAATAGACTAACATAGATAGTTATGAAGAGACTGACAGATCTTCTTCTGACCGGGAAAAGCAAACTTAACTCACAGACTCAATTTTGAAATGTAGCCTACGATCTGACTAGCTAACAAATGCGAATGCGCTGTCAATGAAAAAGCGTTTTTCATTTTTTTTTATATATATATATATATATATATATATATATATATATATATATATATATATATATATATATATATATATATAGAGAGAGAGAGAGAGAGAGAGAGAGAGAATATTGAGAAAGAGGGAAGAAAGGAGAGACAGATAGATTAAAAAAAAAGAAATGCAGGCGCAGAAATCAATACTAAACGTTAACGGTCAGTTTGACACCTAAAGCGATCACTTTCTGTATTGAAAAGTACGCAATAATTATAACGATAAACAATTTTCTGCCTTGATTAAGTAATCTTCACTAATTAACTAGAAACACCCTATATATATATATATATATATATATATATATATATATATATATATATATATATATATATATATACATTTATCTACACACACACATATATATATATATATAGTTCCATTTATATATATATATATATATATATATATATATATATATATATATATATATATATATATATCCATTTATTATTGATTATTTTATCTATATATATATAATGCATTTATATATTATATATAGCCATAAAAATATATGAACAGACTGAGATAGATTGGTATGTATGTATGTATGTATGTGTGTATATATATATATATATATATATATATATATATATATATAGCCTTATATACAAGGAATAAAAGATATGAATAGACTGAATAGATAGATAGATAGATAGATAGATAGATATGAATAGACTGTCATAGATAGATAGATATGAAGAGACTGACATAGATAGATATATATGAAGACTAAGATAGATATGAAGAGACTGACAGATAGATAAATAGATAGATATGAATAGACAGAACATAGATAGATAGATAGATAGATAGATAGATAGATAGATATGTATAGACTGACATAGATAGATAGATAGATAGATTGATAGATAGATAGATAGATAGATAGATAGATAGATAGATATTGATAGACTGACATATATATATATATATATATATATATATATATATATATATATATATATATATAGATAGATAGATAGATAGATAGATAGATATTGGGGTCGAGCAGATCGATCAAGAAATAAAATCCCTCCATCAACGCTTCTCATATAAAATCAAGCGCGTGTGTGTACTTATCACTGAAGGCGCTATGTTATATCGCACACACAGACACAGCGACTGCAATGCTTCTAACTTTTCAGTTGCGTTCTGGTTTTCGCGGTTACGAAGTGGAACGACTTGGCAAAATACATACGGCGTGAACGCAGACACAACATGGATTGGGTAAAGAAACTGTAAGTGTGTCAGATATGACGCACAGACACAACATTCCCATAGCAGTCGGTATGGCACACGCTGAAAGCATTATTACATGCGACTTGCAACCGAGATTCAAGGTAACTGGAAACTGCAATATGGCCGTCGAAGGGGCAGCTGCTAATGGTGGTCTCTCGATTTGATATCGCTGTTGTCGTCTGATTGAAAACTTTGGGGATTAATTAATATATTTTTCGTGCTGCTTTCTACGTATTGTTTGTTTTTTAACCTCACATTATGGCCAACATAGTTCTTAATCTGGTATGTTGATCTGAAATGTTGCTTTAGAAGATATGGAGGTGGATGGACTGCTTGTTATCTAAGCTGTAAAAAATATGCATACAAAAGGAAATACACACGCTTTTTATGAACTATATCTCTACGGAATGAGAGCAAACAGGACTCTTCATAATTTCCGGTCTTATGTAGCAACGGCCAGCAATAAACAATGGTGCCATTTTTTAAGGATACTGTATTTATTCATACATCTAAAGAGATACGCATGAATGCCTAACAATAGCATGGGATAAACTCTCTCTCTCTCTCTCTCTCTATATATATATATATATATATATATATATATATATATATATATATATATATATATATATATATATATATATATATATATATATATAAATGGATAAAGTCCGACAATTATTTTTAAGACATTTTTATGTATATACATACTTTTTATGGATACAAATATTTAAATAAATGCTCTGTTTTATAATAATTATACTACTTAAATTTTTGTATCTATAAAAAGAAAGTATAAACATAAAAATATCTTATATATATATATATGTGTGTGTGTGTGTGTGTTAAAGAAAAACAAAAATCGTTGGTGGAACAGACAATTTGCCAAAACCTATAACTCTTATCCAGATAAAGTCTCGAATAAAAGCGACAATACTGAAAAAATAAAGAGAAAAATAGGCCTGAAAGCAAACTTCCCTACTCAGTAAAGTGCTCGAAGCCTAGATTGTCTAGACCAGGCAAACAACGATTATCAACTTTAAATTTTATGAAAGGATGGCTCTCGTTGTAACCAGAGTTTTACGCTCCCTCTATCATCAGACGATTTATATGTATCCTTACTGTAAAATTTGTAGATATTTATGTTTCAGTTGACACATTGATTTTTTTTTTCTAAAATTTAAGTAATATCTCCTGGCCTACGTATTCAGGAGACTAAATAGAGGGAATACTCTCTCCGTTAGGCTTTAAATCTGGAGGAAAAACCTCTGTCTTATAAGACAGCCACAGAAAGCGTCGCTGGTCAATAAGTTTCAATTACACTTTTAAAGAATTCACATCATATCGTTCCGATCAATTCGAAAGCCAACATCTATTCGAGATGCTGCTAACGTTATTATTTTCAGCAAACATGGCCAAAGATGCCCACAATAAAACTGAGTTTCAAAAGGAAGGTTTTCCCCTTTCCACGGCTATTATTTCAATTACCTTGACCTTCGGCGATGTTTATTATTTTAAAAAGTGGTGATTATAATTGGAATAAAACCTAAACATAAGATGAAAGTGAATTTAGACCCTTTAGACGATTTTCATATTTTAATATTCTCATGGATCTTAATTCTTTAGTTAATGATTGAATAAGCTCATAGCGTGTTCTAGAACAATAAAATATTCGTAGAAATTCCCCGACCGCAACGTTAAATGTTTGAGCTTAACAACTATTAGTAAATATTTCAATAACAATCTCAAATATAAATGCTGGATGTGATTTTTAAGAAGGAATTGGGTACAAATGAAAAGATTTGTAATTGACAGATTTTTTTTTCTATTTGACTGAAACAGACGTTGAACAATTATGTCTTTTTTTCTATTTTTCTTCTTTCCGCTCAAGCCATGTAGTATTTTCCCCCGGTTTCCAGACAAATAAAAACAGAATAGTCTATTATTTATGAGGTATTGCCAGGAAGGTTAAACACTTCCTTCTTTCTTTCGTACTTACTTTCTTTTCTTTTCTCACTCTCTCTCTTTCTCTCTCTCTCTCTATCTATCTCACTCTTTTTTTCTTTCTTTCTTTCTTTCTTTCTTTCTTTCTTTCTTTCACTGAAACCAAGTAGTATCTTTACCCTATTTCCCACGCAAATAAAAACAGAATAGTCCATCATTTTTTAGGCATTACCAGGAAGGTTAATACTTCTTTCTTTCGTTCTTTCTTTCTTTCTTTCTTTCTTTCTTTCTTTCTTTCTTTCTTTCTTTCTTTCTTTCATTCAATTTCCTTCTTTCTTTCTTTCTTTCACTGAAACCAAGTTGTAACTTAACCCGACTTTCCACGAAAATACAAAGAGAATAGTCCATTATTTATGAGGTATTGCCAGGAAGGTTAAACACTTCTTTCTTTCTTTCTTTCTTTCTTTCTTTCTTTCTTTCTTTCTTTCTTTCTTTCTTTCTTTCTTTCTTTCTTTCTTTCTTTCTTTCTGTTATTTTCTCATAGGAATAGTCCATTATTTATGCGGTATTGACAGGGTGTAACATTCGTTCGAAGCGAGCAACAAGGACAATTACAAAAGGTTTATTATTCGAATAGGTGTATTACTGCATCGAGTAGATTTTGTGGGTTATTAAACTATTTGTGTCTTTTCAAGCTGTGATCTTTTTACTTATTCTTTTGTTGTTGTTGCTTTTATCATTTTTCCATTATCATATATATCTCTTTTCATTGACCTGGGCGTGGTTCCGTTGAGTTATTGTGTTCATTTCTTGTGTCGCTTTCGGTGGCGTTTATTTTGTTCATATATATATATATTTATATATATATATATATATATATATATATATATATATATATATATATATATATATATATAGGGAGGTTGCTGTCTGGCGTGAGAAAGTATTTTAGAAACGATTCTTTATTGTGTATTCCGTTTTTGTTATTTTAAGGAGGCGCCGTGTACGATTTTTTTTTACGCATATATATATATATATATATATATATATATATATATATATATATATATATATATATAACGCATGTATTCTAAGATAACCGGTCCAGAGCTTAATCTAACAAATGAACAGTTTTGCTTTCACACAATTTGAACAATTTTGCTGTTACACCTGGTATATATATATATATATATATATATATATATATATATATATAGTCATCCACATACAGACAGTTTCGCTGTATCACAGCTCTTCAGTGTGGCTTGACGTCCGATTGCTTTGAAACCCAACCAGTTTGGTATCATTCATAGATTCTATCGTCGCGCGATATCGAGAAAAGGAAATTGTTAACGTTTTCTATACGAAATATATCAGTTGCCCTTCAGGCTCTTTTCATTTCGGTTTAAGGGCAATGCATATATCAGTACGGTATATATATATATATATATATATATATATATATATATATATATATAAAAAAAATATAAAACTGAACATAGAAGTCAACATTTAGAGAATATATATATATATATATATATATATATATATATATTAATACTGATCAAATGCAACTTCTCAATATACGTTACAAAAAATATACATGAACAAAAAATAGACAAAGATATTTTAAAGTGAAAAGAGAGGTCACAAACGTTTTGGGCTATAATGTGGATTTTTTAATATATATATTTTATTTTCAAAATTTTTTGCTACACGGGTTTTAGGTCTTGTGATCTTCATCAGGGGAAGAATGGTTATATCCACAATATTTAAGGTATTAATTTTTGCCTTATATTTTCTTATGTGTAACCATTATCTTTTGTGTATGGTAGTAATCTAAGTACTTCTTAAATAAAATATTAATTTGACTATCAAGAGATTCCTGTGCACCTCGAGGTGGTGGTGTAATGGTTAGTAAACTTGTCTCGCTAGAACAATTACGACTGAGTAGTGAGTTCAATCCTCACTGGGTGCCCCTTACTTTCGGCCTTGTGCCACATCCAACCTACTCTTGGAAAATCACTATCAAGTGATTCCTGGTGAGATCCAAAAAGAATCTGCAAAGTTATTGGCCCTGACCTGGCATCTCTACTTTCCTACCGCCATAATGTAGCTTCCCTCGACCTTTTCTATAAATAGTTTCATGATAATTGTTCTGATTAACTTTCCTCTTGAATACCTCGACTTTCCGAATTTAAGGGCAGTATTAGATTTACAGATGGCTATCATCATCTTAGTTGAAATGACTAGATGCAGCCGCAAGTTCTATGCGAGCAGTTTCTTCTTTTGCACTTCCATCTTGAAGAAATCTCTTCCGGCTTCCTGCTTTCTAGTCAGTTTTCAAAAATGTAAATGAGGCGTCATCCTTACCTTTTGTGTTTTGTTTTTTTAGTTTTTTATTATATCATCCCTAAGCAAGGCAATAAAGCCACTAAGACGAAAAGCGTTACTCAGTGTAAGTCAATATGAGAAAAAAAAGCAAATATTGTTAAGGAAAGAGGACATTGATTTAAAGATCAAATGCAGATCAAATATAGATCGGAATCGGACAGAATGATAAGACAGCGAACAAATAGAAAACGTACATCAATCTGACATGTTTCACTTTTATTTAAGCTTCGTCAGAGATTGAGAGAAAACAAACAAAAAGGCGTAAATTCTGTTTGGCCCGGTACTCAAGCGTATTAAAACCTGTTATATAGGAATAAAGTGTCACTGCCGGTAATGGATATTGAACACGGATCGCCAGAGAGCAAACACAGGCGACCCCGTTATTGAATTAAGTGGATCACGTGACCATTGGGGGTAGGGAGGAACACATAAGTAGTTAGTAGCGTGACATCTAAACGATCACCATTTCTATCCTATCCTCTATTACTTTACGGATCACTCTTTCTAAACTATCCTTTATCGCGATTCTCTTCTCGACGCTATTCTCTATACGGATCACTATTCGATGGTTACTATTCAGGCGTGTATTATCGAACAAGTACTATTAGTGTTATTAGAAGACGTCTAACACTAGTATTGTTCA